CCGACTGAAGATGATCGTTTGTCTTTTGTACTTACCATTCCGTATTACTATTCACAGAAATGAACCTACCCGAGTGGATGCCGATGCGTAAGAGGATGGGCACATCAGGCAGGTGTCGAATTACCAGGGCAGCAATGAGACTAAGCAGCTCTAGGGCCATGGTTGCAACCTCTCGCGTGCAGATTGCCTTTGCAGATAGGTAGTCCAGAGGTCACCATGTAGGCGTCACCAATCGTCTCCACCTGTGGCCCACATGACACGAGAGAAAGGGGAAATAAAGCTGTATTCTGCGATTGCCATTTTTGTGCAGAAACGAATATCCATTAAACTGGGGCGAACTGGCGCAAGCCTCTGCACCAACCCCTTATTTTAAGTAGAATTTTGCAGCATTGTTGAGTCCGGTAGATTTTAGTAAATGTTTACAGAATCGAGTAATTTTCTTGAGCCAAAATATTGAGAAACCACTGCGCGTTGAATGCAGTTTTAGTTACCTGTTAACGATCTGGAAGGCAGTTTTGAATGAAACACTCAGAATTTAATGAAAGGAAACAGAACTGATCCGTATGGTATTTGATTAAGTAACAAAACTTTGTATCTTTTGGAAATGCGTCATTCAAAACTGTACTACCTTTCCTTCATAAACAAATATGGTGTTTATTAATTGTGCAGTTTCCATTTACTCTTCTGCAATAGCCGCTGAATATTTTGCAATCGTACATAAGCGATAAGCCTTCATTTAAAAATCCACATTTAACGGTTTCCTAATTAAATGGTACTTATATAACATTTTAAGAACTGATAAGTTCCTTTTTACGAAATATACACCTTACTGAAGCGGCGAATCACCATAAACTAATATCTATTTTAATTTTTGTAACATTCCAGTCTTTCGTAAAATTACTTTTAACTCACCACGCGTGATAAAAGTCCAGCAAGTCAGTGCCCGCGTGCCGGTCGGCAAATTATCAAAGCGCAAGAAGCCATTTACCGTTAAATGGTGTTGTATGTTTGCAGTTACGACTGTATCCTATAAATACTGCAAATTCTTGTGCGTATGTTACCCTTATCTGCTATTACTTTTCTGCTTATGACTTTGATGATGAATCTGCGACGGAGCTCGAAACGTCACGCAAATAAAAGTGTTGTCCCAGCGATCGAGTCATCTTTTCCTCAATAAGTAATGTTTTTTAAAGTGGACAAGGCAGGCATAAGACAGCTAAATTACATAATTCTGGAAAAAAAACACGGTAATTGCAATCAGCTACTTTTACCTTTATGATATGTCTAATCACTATATACAGAATAGGTACAGGGTGCTGTTCGAAGCAGAACATGAAGGATTTGCTATATCATACCTTAGTGCTGTATGCTAAACACCCTTACTTCCTCAGACAATGTCGGCCAGCTTAAGTTATCAAAATGAATGGATCACAATCTAGCCTATAAGGCTAGGTGTGGTAAAAAGTAAATCAACAGTGTTAAGTCATTTTCTGGGTCATACATGCAAACAAGAGTTACAATTAACGAATAACAGCTTCAGAAGGGCAGTTGGCGAGCATACGTATACTTTCGATAAATTCTCTTCG